CAGTTCCTTTACTAGCCCAGCAAGCCATAAGGCTTCTTTAGCAGCTTCAGCTACTGCCATATACTCTGCTTCAGTAGTAGATAATGCCACAATAGACTGAATTGTTGATTTCCAACATATAGGCCCTCCACCAAGAGTAAACACATACCCAGTTGTAGACCTTCTGTCATCCAAATCACCTGCATAGTCTGAATCAACATACCCCACAACTGAAGGATCATTCTTCTGACTACCAAAAATAATTTCATGTCCTAGAGTACCCTTCAGATACCTGAAAATCCACTTGACTGCTTCCCAATGTCGTCTTCCAGGTTTAGCCATGTATTTGCAGACTTGACTAACAACATGAGCCAAATCAGGACGAGCACATACCATAGCATACATCAAGCAGCCAACTACACTAACATATGGAACCTTTGCAATGTCTTCCATTTCTGTATCAGTCTTAGGACACTGTTCTGAAGAAAGCTTAAAATGATTTGCCAAAGGAGTGCTTACAGGCTTTGCATTGCTCATCTCAAACCTTTCCAGCACTTTCTCAACATAGCCTCGTTGAGATAGACATAATCGTCTTGAGCCTCTGTCTCGATGAATCTCCATTCCAAGAATCTTCTTCGTAGGACCCAAGTCTTTCATGTCAAATTCCTGGCTCAATATAAGGCTTTCAAACCACAGACATCATTCATATTCTTTGCAGCAATCAGTATATCATCAACAGTACAGTAACAAAAAAATCATAGAACCATCATCAAGGCTTTTCACATAAACACAACAATCATACTCACATCGCCTGTAGCCAATCTGCATCATGTAAGAGTCAAACCGCTTGTACCATTGTCTTGGAGACTTTTTCAACCTATACAGCGATTTCTTTAACCTGCAAACCAGATGCTCTTGTCCAGGTTGAGTGAACTCTTCTGGCTGCTCCATGTAAATTTGCTCCTCCAAATCACCATGCAAGAAAGCAGTTTTAACATCCATCTGCTCCAAATGCAAATCCCAAATAGCTACTAATGCAAGCACTGCCCTGATTGAAGTATTGTCTGATCACAGGAGAAAAGATTTCATCATAATCTGCCCACTTCTGCTGCGAAAATCCCTTTGCAACCAGTCGAGCCTTGAACTTTTCCCCTTCTTTTTCTGATACTGTTGGTT